TTTTCATTTACCCATTTTTCATTAATCTCTTTATCTATTAACCCATTTTTCATTAATCTATCTTTTAATTTAACCACTGTTCAATTTCCTTTTTCCATTAACCCGATTTCCTATTTCCCGGTTTCATTAATCAATTTCTCATATATCCCTTTTTTATTTACCAATTTTTCTTTTATCTATTTTTCATTTACCATTTGTTTGAAAAATTTTTAATTTTCCCATATTCCAATTTCCCTTATTCATTATTTCCTTATTTTTTAATTTATCTAATTCTATTTTCCCCTCTTCGCTTCTGCTTTAATATGATAATGAGGGGCGGTGTCTTCAGGCTACAATGGCAGCCTATTGGTTGGTTAGATGCAACTGCAGCGCTCAGTTCCTGTGGACTTTCCCTGAACACCCATTTATTTATTTATTTAATTTTGGCTGAAATGGCTCTCAATACCCATTATATGGTCCAATCAAAAAACAATGTTACTTCAATTAAAAAAGTTGCTTTAAACAAAAAAGACTGCACTTCTGTCTACGGTAATAGAACATTTTCAATCAAAGAAAAGCAGCGTTCAAATGTATTTTTTTGAGTCTCAAATATATTGAAATCCTTTTTTTTCTTTAATTGAATCTTTTTTTTCATTGAAATGAAGACTTCTTTTAATTGAAAATAAATTTTTTGATTGAAGCAACTTTCTTTTTGATTTTGAATAATAAAGAAACAAATCTACTTTTATAGATTCTTCGCTGCTCAAATCAACTCTATTTCTGTTCTGCATTATTTGGTAAGGGAGGGGGAATACAGCATTTTTTTTTCATTTAACTGGTCAATTTTCAGGTGCTGGTTGTTGGAAACCCGGCTAACACAAACTGTCTGATCGCGGCCAAGTCTGCTCCCTCCATCCCCAAAGAAAACTTCTCCTGCCTCACACGTCTGGACCACAACCGGGCCCGCTCCCAGGTTCCTAACCACCCTTCTGGTTTATTTTTGCTTCTCCATTCTAACCTTGAGTGCGATTGGAATATGAACTCTACCCCTCCCATCCTGCAGGTGGCACTCCGCTGCGGTGTCCCTGCCACTCAGGTGAAGAACGTTATTATCTGGGGAAACCACTCGTCGACCCAGTACCCAGATGTTCACCACTGCAAGGTCAGCATGCCTGCCAGCGAGCTCGCCTGCTTTGACGCAGTCAAGGATGACGCTTGGCTTAAGGGAGACTTTATATCTGTGAGTAGATGACTCTGATGTGACTATGTTAAACAGAGCAGCCTTCATTATTCCTGTTCTCCTTATAAAAGCTTGTAAACCAAGATTTCATCAAAGTAGAATTATTTCACCATAAGAATCTAAAAACACTTAAATAAAATATGGCTTCTTTTTCACTATTACTTTAATTCATCCATATTTAAAACATTTTTAAAAGAGAATTTGCAATCTAATTATTTAGTGGGTATCAAATTAGGCGGCTTTGATTACAATTAAAGATCAATTATTAGACTCCAGTTTTTATTCAATGTATCTATTTTTTTTATAAGCATCATTTCAGGTTCCAAATATTTTTGTTTTTTAACCTTTTTTTTTTTAAATTTAAAAATATATTTGTTTTCTTGCAGACAGTTCAGCAGAGAGGTGCCGCCGTCATCAAGGCCAGGAAGTTGTCCAGCGCCATGTCTGCAGCCAAAGCCATCTGCGACCACATGAGGGACATTTGGTTCGGCACCCAGGAGGTAGACGTCATGTTTGTTAACTCCCTAGTTAAGAAAGAAGAGCGTGTTGTAGTTAACTGATCTAATGTTAAGGGCTGGTTATACTCCCGCAGTAGTTTGTTGCAGTGAGCTTGTAGCAAGTATAAAATAGATATTTTTGAGGCGTCGTCTGCGCTATGGTTTTCTATGCCACAACGCCAGAGGGACAATCGGGAACTAGCTAGGATTGTGGATGTCCGTGTGTCGATTTTACGAGCTTGTTCGCCGTCTACAACCCCCTCATCCAACGCTGGTCGACACACAGTTCATCAATGTGTTGGGCTAAAAGACTGGCTGTGGCGCTGCATGTTTTGGCTTCGGGTGCAAACCAACAGACTGTCGCACAGAGATACAAACTAGCATCCTGCAAGGTGTCTGGGATAGTGTCCGAGGTGTGCCAGGCGTTGTGGACGGCACTACAGAGTTTCTGCCATTAGGTACCAAACAGGAAATGCGCATAGTGTAGAGCGGATCTAGAATTGACCTCCTTTCTCTCCTCCCTGCAGCACTGTCCACGGTCACCTACAATTTTGGGGAGGGGCATCAGACTCTGCAGAAAGGGGGGATGCTGCATATTTGCGTTAACTGTGGCACACGCAGATGACCTGGTTTCTAAGCATAAAGAGATCAATGGTTTCCTTTATGGAATTTAAAAAAATAACATATCAAAGCTACATCAAATACATCTATTATTTAACTACAGATCTGTTAAACATAATGTTTTACTTATTAAAGTATTTTTGTGTTACTTGAACTGCAATCCATCATCTATATTCACTGAACCCCTGACAGTTATTCTGAGAGATAAAAATACTGCACATCTTTCTATTATTACTGTTACTTTACATTGACTTCTATTATTTCACGTCCATTTCTCTGGTCTAAATCTGACCCTAAACCCACCCCCTACCAGGATGTGTATACCTTCTTGCTCCTATTACCGTGTTTGCCCTATAGACCCCCTACAAGGGCTCTTCAGACGTCTCTCTCTTGAGTGATTCCCTCAAACTGTCCCCAGGTTCTCTTGATATCGTCCTCCAGCTTTTTCCGAGTCTACCTCTTTTCTTTTCCCTTGTCCTAACCGTCTCCAGCCTCTTTCGATGGTCTCTTAGCTGGTTTCAGGCCGGTGAGTCACCAGAACTCTTGGTTGTTAATGATCTAGAGAAGTGTCCGTAAATGTCTGGACCTTCATGGTGGCGGTTATGGCGATCCATTAAAAAGCACTGACTTCAAGTTGGTATTGAGGTCATTATCTTTGTTTTGATTGACATGTTTCATGAGCTCTGAATGTTCTTGAGTTGGAGAAAGGCTGGCCTGGCCAGTCCGAGCATTGGCCGTGCAGGAATACGATTTAAAAAACCCCAAAGTTAAATGTTTCTCATCTTCAACATCGTCATATGACATTGTTTTCGCTGTTAATCTCACACACAGCCACTGGAAACAGGAATGTAGTTCAATCTGACCACACAAAGATCAGGATATATTCCCTTTCTGTGCACTGGTTCTCATGGGAGATGCTGTCTCTGTTCGAAAACCTAGGACGTGTCCTCCAAGGATGCGGTCTACCTAGACTGGATCCTTCGAAGTCCTTGAAAATAAGGAGACCGGAAGAGTTT